TCTTTTTGAGACAGGGTCTCGCTATGCAGTTCAGGCTGGCCTTGAGCTCACTGCGTAGCCCAGGCTGGTCTCGAACTTGCAACGATCCTCCTGCCTCAGCCTCCTGAGTGCTGGGAGTACAGGCGTGCGCCACCACGCGCGGGCCCCATTGTTTGCTTTTAAACAGAGCTCTGAAACCTTTGCTTCCTGGGCTGTGGGCAAGACAAGCTGGCTATTTGTTCCCTACTGTCACCTAATTTCTTTCTCCTGTTAGTGCTCTAGGAAGAGCAAAAATGCCAGTGACCAAGTTGTGTTTTAAAAATCTCCATTTCAAAGTCCTGGGTGCATAGATGTTGCCACACAGGAGCCCCTGCTCGGAGGCGTCAGCTGACATCAGAAGGGACAGCTGTGCTCTGTGAGGACACCCCCAGTCTGAGGGTGACAGCTGACAAGGGGCAGGGTGGTTTGAGGGCCTCTGCTGGGGCTGCGTCACTGACCATCCAAGCTTTGCAGACCTCCACAGGCACCGCGGTGCTCTGTTCCCGAGTGGTGGCCAGCCTCTGCTGCTCCTGGGCCTTTACTCAAACTTGAGGTGACCCTCCTGCCTCGGGCTCCCGAGGGCTGGGATGACAGGCGTGCAGCCTTCGCCCGGCTCACAGCTTTGACTTCCTCATGGATGGTGCTATTTAGACGTTCTTGTGCACACCTTTCGGTGCCCATGTGCGGGTATTTACGTTGGAGTTCACCCAGGAGCATGGCACTGCCAGGGTCTCACTCTGTACTCCCAGCACTTGGAAGGCTGAGGCAGGAGGGTGAAAAGGTCAAAGCCAGCCTGCTAAGCTACACCTGAAGACTCTGAAAACAACAGCGCCACTGGCAAACAGGAAAAGATTCTCTGGAAAGCTACAAATTTTTAAGAGAGATACAGGCCAAAGCACACCCATATCTTAAAACTGAGAAATATTTTATTGGACCATGGATTTGGAAAGGGTTCAGCAGTCCCTCAGTTCGCGCTAAGTTCAGCAGCTGACCTGGGCCTTCGAACTGCTTTCAGGCGACAGCGCCCCCTGGTGGCTATCCTTGGAATAGGACAACTTCCTGTATAGTTTGACATCTTTTATTAGGAAAAGTGGTTCAGTTATGACCGTTTTAGGAAGCAGTTTAACAGACTGCAGAATATATGTGTAAGAATAAATTAATATTTATGGCATTGGCCTCAAGAGCTTATTTTATAATTTAACAAATCTTTGCTTGGCGCCTACACACACGAGTAAGATTGCCAGCAAAATGGACAAGAAAATGCTTGCGTCCACAGATCCCACGTTTTAGCGAATGCAAGACAGTCTAAAAAGCTTAATAAGCAAACCAGAATGTTTGGCGAGCATAAGGGGGTGGGGGAGGTTACAATGTCACATAGGATGGGATCTGAGCAAAGGCTCAAAGGAAGAAATGTCACCAGGTTCGGTGGCACACGCCTGTAATCCCAGCACTCAGGAGGCTGAGGCAGGAGCATCGCTGTAGTCTGAGGCCAGCCTGGGCCACACAGCAAGTCTGTCTTCCAGCTGCGTCTTCACATGGCCGATTTCCCTTCCCTCTCCTACGGCCACGGGTCCCATCCCGGGGACCCCACCCTCGTGGCCTCCTTCAACTCCCAGGAGCTCCCCAGGCCCCACTTGGAAAACCACAGCGTGGGGCGAAGACATCTGTGTGCACACCCGGGAGCGGGAGGTGCAGGGGCGCAGCTTAGCCCGAAGGTGCGCGCGTCCCCCGGCCCCCAGGTGCGGGTGCAGTGCTGTCCCCCTCTGCCACAGAGCGGCTCCTCCTCTGCTGCCTAAGGAGCCCGCGAGCCTGGCGGGGCAGCTCCCAGGAGGGAGCGGCTCTGGGCATGGGGTGCCGCCTGGGGTCCCCACGGCGACCTGCAGGCGGAGCCTTCCAATGGGCAGCGCTGTGGGCGCGGTGGTGGCTGCGGGCGGGGCCGGGCTGGCCAGGGAGCGCGTGGGAAATCTGGACTCTGCTCGCTAAAATCTACTCGGTCCGGCGCCGTCCGAGCCCGACTCCGACCTCAGTGCGGCCCTGCAGGGATTTTGGTTTGCGATGCATCCCAAGAACTAGACCAGAACCTTACCGGAAAAACAAAGGATTAAATGGGTATATTTTAAAAATAAGTGTTCAAACTATGGGGCGTGGTGGTGCACGCCCAGCACCCAGGAGGCTGAGGCAGGAGGACCTCTTTGAGTTTGAGGCCAGCCTGGACTGCACACTGAGTTCAAGGCCAGCCTCAACTACATAGCAGGACCCTGCCTCAAAAAACCGAAACCAACCGAAAAGGGGGAAAGGACAGAAAGACTAATGCTTTGTATCAGTAATCGCAGGAAGTGGGTCTCAGGAGGATCTGAGACACGGCGATTCCCAAGGGCTACCGGACGCAGGGAGAGCTGTGGTGAGCGGGCCCAGGGCTTTCTGCGAGCCGAATTCGCTCTGGGCGCCGCCGCACAGCGCGGTGACTTCACTCAGTAACAGACTGTGCGCTTGAAAACGGCCGCGCTCTCCGGCGTTCTGTCACACACGAGCACCTGTGCACCGCGGCGTTTCTCTAGTGTGAGAAACCCAGGGCAAAAACAGAGACTAAAACAAAATTATAAAAAAGAAAGTGAGGGCTAGGGATATAGCTCAGAGGCACAAGCGCCTGCCTGGCAAGCGCAAGGTCCTGCGTTCGAATCCCGGTACCAAAACATAATAAAAAAGAAAGTGACTGTCAGGCGGTATGTTAGGTTGTGAGAATCATTTATATATATATAT